TAAAAAACAATTCTCGCATGTGCAGGGGGAGGAAAGAACTATTCTTTGCCCATAAGTCCCTACAGCAGCACATGCTCTAGTGATTGCAATCAATGGCAGTCATGTCATCTTTGAATATGAGCAATGGCAGTATAATGTGACTACATCCTGACAGAAACAAATTTTTATTCATGCCCGCTTACTGATGGGAGTCCAGCCAAGTAAAATTACAGGTGTTGAGTGAGTTGATGTATCCAAATACATCCCATCCATTTTATTGTTATTATGGATTCGGTACTGGTGTGATTTGCCTTGTAATGTCTTGTATTATTAATCTTTTATACAAGAATATAGAATTAGTGAGTCAGAAAAAATTTATTAAAAGTTACACGGTTCCTCTTGAGAAATATAGTAAAATTATTATATCTTAGTCATTTGATTTACAAAAGTGCTTGCTTCCACATAAATAAGGCAGAGAAAATACATCATTTGTAGACTTGATTATCCAAATACAAATGTAATATATGTACATAAAACTTATATAATGGAGTATTTATTCTTGAGAATAATGTACTATGTGGGATATAATACTTCTAAGAATTTAATCTGCTAGATAAATAGTAATTCTTGTAAAGTTTTACAGATTTGCATTTTGATCAAATATCTCAATGCATAGTGAATCAAGAAAGTGCATATAATTGATCAGTATATTTGATCCCTATTGCTTCTTTGCTTGAAATATTTATGTAAAGAAATCTTGCCATTTCTGGAAATGGAGTCTAAAAAAATGCCTGATTATTTTAACTATTCATTTACCTTTTGCTAAGCATGTATGCATCCATAAAAATATATAGTGTTTTTGGTCTCATAAACTTGACATAAATGGCATTATGATGTATCATTTAACTTCCTTTTGCCTTTCAACAATTTTTTAAAACTAATATATAGTATTCCACTGTACCTATAAATTTATCTATTTTTCTATGATAGATATTTAGGAAATTTTCAATTTTTTACTGCTATAATTCTTCAGTGGATACTCTTGTAGCATACTAGTATCTTCTTTAGTATACAGACTAGAAGTGAAATTGAGTGGTGTATCAATATTTACTTTTACTAGGTTTTTGACAACTAGCTCTCTGAATTAGTATTGCATAATTATATTGCCTCTGATATGGTATTAAGGTTCTTCTTTCACATTTTTTCCAGTAACTGATTGAGAGTTTTTAATTTTTTGAATGTGAGTTTTAGTTTATTTATTTATTTATTTTTTAATTGATTTTTTACAGAGAGGAAGAGAGAGGGATAAAGAGTTAGAAATATTGCCGAAACCGGTTTGGCTCAGTGGATAGAGCGTCGGCTTGGGGACTGAAGGGACCCGGGTTCGATTCTGGTCAAGGGCATGTACCTTGGTTGCGGGCATATCCCCAGTAGGGGGTGTGCAAGAGGCAGCTGTTCAATGACTCTCTCTCATCGATGTTTCTAACTCTCTATCTCTCTCCCTTCCTCTCTGTACAAAAATCAATAAAATATATTTTTTAAAAAAGAGTTAGAAACATCGACTGGGGATGTGCCCGCAACCAAGGTACATGCCCTTGACCGGAATTGAATCTGGGACCTTTCAGTTCACAGGCCGACACTCTGTCCGCTGAGCCAAACCGGTTTCGGCTGAATGTGAGTTTTAAATTTTGTCTTAACAGTGTAAAACTATATTTCATTGTTTAAATACTTCGTATAACTAATAGTCCTAATTACCAGCACAGATAGAAACTGTACTTTTTAAAAATTGTTGACAATATTACAGATGTCTCCCATTTCCCACCCCCTCTTTACACCCTTACACTCAACCCATACCACACCCCATGACTTTAGCATCCATTGTCTGTGTCTAATAAAAGGGTAATATGCAAATTGGTCAGGATGGATTTAGGGCAGCATGCTAGATGACCTTCAATGGACATGTAGCTGAGTACAAAACAGATAATTTCCTTAACCCACTGAAATTTTTGGAGTTATCACTCCAAAGTAATCCACATGTCTTCACTGATACAGTTAATATGTAACTGGCAATCAGATGATTGGGGAAGTAGTAAATAAACACCTTCATTTATTAGAAGGTTATATTTATATTTCATTTTTGTTTTCTGAGATCAGATGAGATCGGGTGCGTTCAGGGTGGTATGGCCATAGACTTCTTTTTGTTTTCAATGTTTTCTCCCTCCTCCTTCTAACTATGTCACACATATTCCCCAATACCCATGACCTGCCAAACCAATTGGGACCAATTTTTGATGGCTTGTATGTACTCTCTCAGCCTGCAGTTCCTCACCCAGCTTGTATAAGTTATCCCTAAAAAATGTATACATATTAATACTTTAATAGCTAATAGCTCTGCTTTTAAAATGAAATGTATTTTAATAAACACTGCCTTTATAATTATTCAAAGTGTATATAAACATTTTTTGGTGAACATCCTACAATTCTTCCCTTAAGCCAGCATTTCCTTTCTTTCTTTCTTTCTTTCTTTCTTTCTTTCTTTCTTTCTTTCTTTCTTTCTTTCTTTCTTTCTTTCTTTCTTTCTTCCTTTCTTTCTTCCTTTCTTTCCTTTCTTTTCTTTTCTTTCTTTTCTTTTCTTTTCTTTTCTTTTCTTTTTTTTCTTTTCTTTTCTTTTCTTTTCTTTTCTTTTCTTTTCTTTTCTTTTCTTTTCTTTTCTTTTCTTTTCTTTTCTTTTCTTTTCTTTTCTTTTCTTTTCTTTTCTTTTCTTTCTTTCTTTCTTTCTTTCTTTCTTTCTTTCTTTCTTTCTTTCTTTCTTTCTTTCTTTCTTTCTTTCTTTCTTTCCTTCCTTCCTTCCTTCCTTCCTTCCTTCCTTCCTTCCTTCCTTCCTTCCTTCCTTCCTTCCTTCCTTCCTTCATCAGCTGCCTCCTGCACACCCTCCACTGGAGCTAGCTTGCTTGCTTTCCTCCCTCCCTCCCTCCCTCCCTCCCTCCCTCCCTCCCTCCCTCCCTCCCTCCCTCCCTCCCTCCCTCCCTCCCTCCCTCCTTTCTTTCTTTCTTTCTTTCTTTCTTTCTTTCTTTCTTTCTTTCTTTCTTTCTTTCTTTCTTTCTTTCTTTCTTTCTTTCTTTCTTTCTTTCTTTCCTTTCTTTCTTTCTTTCTTTCTTTCTTTCCTTTCTTTCTTTCCTTTCTTTCTTTCCTTTCTTTCTTTCCTTTCTTTCTTTCTTTCTTTCTTTCTTTCTTTCTTTCTTTCTTTCTTTCTTTCTTTCTTTCTTTCTTTCTTTCTTTCTTCATTTCTTTTTTATAAAGTGATTTAAAAATATATATTTTATTGATTTTTTTACAGAGAGGAAGGAAGAGAGATAGAGAGCTAGAAAAGCCAATGAGAGAAAAACACCCACCAGCTGCCTCCTGCACACCCCCTACCGGGGATGTGCCCGCAACCAACATACATGTCCCTGACCGGAATCGAACCTGGGACCATTCAGTCTGCAGACCGACACTCTACCGCTGAGCCAAACCAGTTTCGGTAGCATTTCTTTTCATGAAGAGTTTATATTTTTAAAGATAGGGATCCTGAAAAAAAAAATCAATGTTTTACCTAAAATCTTTACTGAGAAAGATCAGCTTTATGACCTTGTAGTGAGGAATTATTCGTGAAAGGAGCTTTCTCAGCTTCCCCTTATTACCACTTTGGTGCCAGCTGACTTGATATATATATTTCTGACTGGCTCTGACATTAAGTTCATATCACTTAATCATCTGTTGGTTAATCACATTCTCAAACCTGTATGTTCAGTATCTGGCTCTTATCTTCCTGGGATGCTTGTTTAAAGGTTAAGAGGGCAAAGATAAGAAGTAGAGGTGGCACTAATAAAATACTTCCCTGAAAGAAGTATCTTTTTTACATAATCTCTTCTTGGATGAAATTTTCCTTTATGTTAATAAGTTCCTCCTAACCATGCAGAATTATCTCACATGATGGTGGGGGTGGGGAAATAAGTGAATGAATGTCCAGAGAACTACATTTTTAATTGTTCCTACCTTGAAATGAAATATATGAATTGTTTGATTGGAATGCTTGCCTCCTAATATTTAGAAGGTGTTAGGTGAGACAGAGGACAGTTGGATAGTGATGCTAAGACATTTCGGAGCATGAAATGCATAAGGTTTATGTAGTGGACTCATCCAGAGGCTGTGGATTTGACAGGAGGATGTAGTACCTGTCAGACAGAATGCAGGTGTAAGAAGGATGTGGATCCAGCAGCCACCAAATTCCTGCTTTGTAATTTTTTTAAGGACTCCTCTGTGAAGGTTATAGACATCCTGAAAAATCACCTTAAGTATCAACAGCATTTATACCTACCGTAGTTTCCCTAAAGCAGTTCTCAACCTTCCTAATGCCATGACCCTATAATACAGTTCCTCACATTATGGTGACCCCCAACCATAAAATTATTTTCTCTGCTACTTCATAATTGTAATTGTGATTCTGTTATGAATCGTAATGTAAATATCTGTGTTTTCTGATGGTCTTAGGCTCTACAGCAGTGGTTCTCAACATGTGGGTCGTAACTAGCAGGGTCGCCTAAGACCATTGGAAAACATAGATATTTACATTACGATTCATAACAGTAGCAAAATTACAGTTATGAAGTAGCAGAGAAAATAATTTTATGGTTGGAGGTCACCACAATATAAGGAACTGTATTAAAGGGTTGCAGCATTAGGAAAGTTGAGAACCACTGCCCTAAAGAATACTAGCCTTGGCTGGGTAGCTCAGTTGGATGTGCCAAGGTTGCAGGTTCAATCCCCTATCAGGGCACATACAGAATCAACCAATGAATGAATAAATAAGTGGAACAATAAATCGATGCTTCTCTCTCTCTTTTCCTTCCTCTCTCTCTAAAATCAATTTAAAAAAGAATATTAAACATTTTTGATATCAAAATACTTTATTGTAATGTTTCCTGCTCCTTGAAAAATGAATGTTGATTGGTTAATTGATGTTTACATCTTTCTCTTTTTAGGTGGTTCTTTGGAGCAATCAAGAGAGCAGATGCAGAAAATCAACTATTATATTCAGGAAATCAGACGGGTGCTTTTCTAATCAGAGAAAGTGAAAGCGAGAAAGGAGGTTTCGCCCTTTCAGGTATGAGCATTGTTTTGTGTGATTTAAATAAGGGTTTGAGAATCTGTAGTCTTGGACCTACTGTGTAAATATGGACATGTTAATTTCAAATTTGCCTATTTCCTTATCTTCCTAATAGTACCAAAATTACATGTCCTGAGCCACTCCAGAGTAATATAAAAATTAGCATGAAATTTCTATCTATGGTTAGAAGTCTTCTATAAGCAGATTCAAAGACATGCACTCTAGATATGAAATAAAAAACATGGATCTGGCTGTGTTTTCTCACTTGCATTATCAAAGATTCTATCCTTCCAGGGAAGTAATAAGCAAGAAGCAAACACTACACGGTTGTCAAAACTGATCTTGGCATAATACATTTTTTTTTTTTTGCATTTCATTTGTCTTTGCCTGATAAATGGAAAATGAATGGAAGTGCTGAATGCAAATGCATTTAATGAACTCCATGGCATGTAACATTTTGTCAAAGGTAGTTTTTCAGCTCAGAGTCAAATTCATGTTTAACTTACACTGCCCTAGAAAAGAAGCACAGGGGACCCAGGAGTGCTCTTTAAGCGTGACAGGTGCGTGCATGTCTCTGCTTTCAAGAACCTGTGCTTCTTGGTGTATATTCCAAGGTTGCAGAGTGGCCTTCTTGAAGACCGCTCCAGTCCGTCTCTCCTGTGAGACTTTCTCCTTGCCGTTCTGCGACCTCTGTATTGCCAGTCATTTGTGTTATTATTCCTTTTAAAGCATGTCTTTTATTTCAACAACTAGACATAAGCCTTTGGGAGAAGAGATTTTGCTTTCCTCTATCCCTATTGCCCTGAAACAAGTGTTAATTAAACAGAACGTCCATGGGCCTTGCTGTGTGTGCCTGGCTCACTGATATGGAAACAGGCCCTGAGCTCCATGTATTGGGAACTCTGACTTGACCTAAACCAAGACCAGACTGTGTGTGTTCGGTATCCATTGTCTTCCTCATACCTGATGATCCCAGGATCAGGGCAGATGGATTAGAACCGAAGTGAATTAAGGGCAGCGGTACCAAGGCAGGCTTTTTAGGTGTTGTCCTGTGGTTTCTGTCCATTCTGACACTGAGTCAGTAGGTATTACAGAATCATATGGATTCAGCACCCCCACTATCCAGTTAGAGGATGCTGCTCTGATTACCATTCTTGAAATGTTTCCAAGTGTGATGTGACATCGACCTTTCTAATTTTGTTTATACCCAGGGCAATACAATTTGCAGTGACTGATAGGTGATGGGCATTAGCCACTCAGAGCTGATGCCCGACTAGGCTGGGCCTCCACACCAGTCCATTCCTGTATACACCCAGGTGACATAATTAATGTTTTATTATGTATAATAGCCTTTTCTCTGTCTATAAAAGTAATATGAACATTTTCAGAGACAAAAAAGCTCAAAGAAGATTAATTTACAATATAACCTTCTGAATATAAACTTTGATACTGAAATATGTTAAATAAATGGAGTCACACCCATAAAAATGGGAAGTTATGTGGCTTCTAAATATATTTATGTAGAAAAATAATAAAGAACATAAAAAATGTTCACAGGATACTGAGAGATAGGAAAAATGAATCTTAGATCCATATTACACACACACACACACATATACACACAAATACATATAAATGCACATATATACACACATGAATCTAGGATTTATTTTTCCTATCTCTTAGTATCCTGTGAACATTTTTTCATATTCTTTATTATTTTTCTACATCAGTATATTTAGAAGCCATATAACTTTCCATTGTATGGGTGTGCCTCCATTTATTTAACATATTTCATATTTTATACAGTTTCATTATTTCACTTATTTTGCTATTATAAAATATGACACAATGGAAATCCTTGTAGAAGAAAATTTGAAGATTTAAAGATTTCCATGGGAATACTATATTCAGAAAAAGAAAAACAGTTTTGAAATCTCAATGTCTAATGATAACAAAAGCTGTAAAGAGAATTTCTTGTAGATGTTCAATGCATCCATGCTTGTTATTTGCCTTTGCCAATATATACATATCAAATTAGGTAGTCATTATCTAGGCAAAAGTTAAATTAAACATTTTAGATTAGCATTAAAAGAAGAGTAGAATTTCCCTGAGGGAAACAAACTGAAAGTAGGATTAGCTGAATCATGTCTTTGAATAATGTCCAGGCTACAGCTGACTCTTCTGAAAACCCTCTAGGTAGAGTATGAAGGGACAAAACAACCATATAGGCTTAGAACAAAATTATAAGGCTATTGGCTGTTGTGTGCTGAGAATACTCCTGCACTTGCTTATGGATTTACTAAGCTCTGTGGGCCTATTTGGAGACCAGCATATCATTCATTTTCAATGAAGTCAAACAATTTTGAGTCTTTCAAACAAATTATCTGATTGCTGTGTATTCACTGGGGGACACCGTAAATGCAGACCATTATGTTCTATTCAAAGGGAAATTCTCTTTATAGCCAGAAGAGGGCTTTGCAGGAGAAAAATGAGAAGAAAAAAGTCTTCAGGATATCTACATTACTGTAAAACAAACACACAAACAACCCAACTGCTGACTGTTGACTACCACTAAGGATTTTCAGAGAGACCACTCAAGGATTTATTCCTTAGTGCAGTGGACTCCTTCATCAGTCAGAATGGATGGCCTTCAGTGTTGCTGACTGCTGTGTTGCTAAAGAAAGGCAACTATCTCTTTTCTGTGTCTGTCTTTCCCCTGTCAGTTTTCCTTAGAAGCATTGTCTTTATTCCTTGGGCAACCAGGGTTTGCAGCTGTCAGGAAAAGGTTTATGATTTACCGAGGCTGGGAGGGGGCATTCCCGAACCAGCAGCCCAAAGTTGGGGTGGATGCTAATTGGATTGTGTGGTCCTTGCATGGCTGACGGCTGGCTCCTGTGAGGTCTGCATAGATCTCAGAAGAGAGTGAGGGCTCTGACACCTCTCCTAATGGCAAGACACTAATTAGCTGTGAATTACAACCATGCTTTTGGATGTTACATATTGCATGTGGCAGCTGGAGAATCTGTCTTCATTAGATGCATGACAGGTAGTTTTAGTGGCTCTACTGTTATTTGTCATTAGTAGTAGATTGTTTTTCTGATGAAAAATATAAAATTACGACTGCATGTGAAATGGTTTGGCCATTTCTCGACTTCAATCCATTAGTGTAAAGGAAATTATTATTATTGCTGTTACCATTAATAATAATTTGGTGCTTGGCATCCTATAAGCATTTGTATTATTGTTTAAGGTATACTTTAAGGAAAATACACTTGAGGACTAAAATTGAGCTGCAGCTGAGTTTTTCAGAAGGGATTCCACACTGCACGTTGTAAGGTTACTTTAGACAACTCTGCAGATTTGTCTTCAATGAAACCTTCCCAAAAGTAAATGATAACAGATTGAATATAGTTGGGGGGGAAAAAAAGTACACTGAGGACATGAGGCAAAAAAAGCTCATCAGCAATATACCGGGTGATACATCTAGGAGTGGAGATCACTTATTTCTATATTTGTTTATTTCTTCAACAAACTTTCAAGGGGCCTACTATGTGCCAGTCCTTGATAGGCGAAGGAGCAAAGACAGTACAGCCCAGGCCCTGAACTCAGGCTGCAGGAGGGTTATCACACAGTTGTCTTTCTGTGAGACAAGAGGGGGCAGGAGTCAAGTCCCTCAGGGGGAGTCAGGAAGGTTACACAGACGAGAAAGAATTTGGGTTCTGTACTAATTTGTGCTTCAAGGTAGCAGGGTGGAATGATTGGTCCTGGCAAGGCAAGTGTACAAAGTTGGGGATGTCTGGTGTTTGTTGGAAAGAAGGTTGGAAGATAGAGCAGGGGTGTGTGTGTGTGTGTGTGTGTGTGTGTGTGTGTGTGTGTGTGTGTGTGTTTTCAGGGCTTTGCATATCATGCTGAGGAATTTGGCCCTTATTCTGTAGAGGGATGTCTTAAGCACAAAGTGACCTGGTGTGACCTTTAACAGCATGACGAGAGATGTATGGATAATAGACTGAGGAGGGGTGAGAGAGACAAACAGTGGCATCACTTGCTGCTGTGTGAAATGACAGGTTCAAGACAGTAGAGTTTGCCAGCCTCTGCAGAGAGGGGTGATGGAACCCAAGCTCCTCGGGCTGCACCAGGGCTCCACTCCAGCACAGGGTGTCCCCAGAAGCCAAAGGCCCCTCTGTTGCTCCCTTTTGTTTTATGGGGTAAGTGTGGAAGTGGCCGTAGGACTAGGAATAAAAGTCCATGCTTTGGGCCCAGCTGGTGTGGCTCAGTGGTTGAATATCAGCCTATGAACCAGGAGTTCATGGTTTGATTCCCAATCAGGGCACATGCCAGGCTCAATTCCTAGTAGGGGGTGAGCAGGAGGCAGCCAATCAATGATTCTTTCTCATCATTGATATTTCTATCTCTCTCTCTATCTTCCTTCCTCTCTAAAATCAATGAAAAAAAATTTTTTTTTAAATCTGTGCTTTGGTGCAAAGCAGTATGAGCTTGAATATCAAATATTTGCAATGTTGTTTGGAAACCCAGCACTGACAGGCTTTGGGCGTTGTGGGGAATTGTGGCTCCTCCTTCATGGAAGAGGAAACTATGGGACCTGTGGGAAGCTGAATTCAGGTGCAGCCCTCTTGCTGGGCATAGGTCAGGGGGCCCTTAAAGAGCTCCCAGCATTCTTCGTTAGATAGTCCTGCTCATCTCCGTAGATGATGGCCTGAACCAGGGAAGAGGCAGGGCAAATAGAGAGTAGAGAATGGAGGTGAGGAATACTTAGAAGATATGAACCAATATGAATTGGTGGCTGGTCATATATGGAGCAAGATAAAGGAGAAGGAAGCATTTAGGCTGACCCTCAGACCTCTGAATTGAGTGACTGGGGCAGATTGGAGGAGCAAAGGAATAACCTCAGAGGTGTTGGATGCAATGGCAGGTGGACATTCAAGTAACCAGTATTATGTTTTTGCATTGTTTCTTCTAATGTTGAGCAGAGTACT